AGACCACTACTTTCAACAGCAGGAGATGTAGCTGACTTTTCTAACACACAAAAACAGACATAGAGAGTTAAACAAAATCAGGAGACAGAAGAGAATGTCCCCAATAAAAGAACAGGATGAAACCACAGCAAGAGACCTAAGTGAAACAGTGATAAGTAACATGCTTGATAGAGAATTTAAAGTAATGATCATAAAGATACTTGAGAAAAGAGTGGAGGAGATCAGTGAGATCTTTAATAAAGAAACAAAAAAGAACCAATCAGAGATGAAGAACACAATAATGAAATTTAAAATACACTTGAGGGAATAAATAGCAGACCAGAAGAAGACGAATGAATTAGTGACCTAGAAGACAGAATAATGGAAAGTAATCAAGCTGAGCAGGTGAGAGAAGAAAAAGTACACAAAATGAGAATAGATTTAGGGAACTTAGTGACTCCATAATAACATTCACATTATAAGGATCCCAGAAGAAGAAGAGAGAAAAGGGAGCAGAAAATTTATTTGAAGAAATTATAGCTGAAAACTTCTCTAATATGGGAAAGGAAACAGATATCCAGATCCAGGAGACACAAATCCCCTAACAAAATCAACCCAAGGAGGTCCATCCCAAGACACATTATAATTAAAATGGCAAAAAGTAGTAATACAGGGAGAATTTTAAAAGCAGCAAGAAAAAAGAAGACAGTTACAAACAAGGAAAACCCCATAAGGCTATGAGCGGATTTTTCAGCAGAAACTTTGCAGGCCAGAAAGGAGTTGCCTGATATATTCAAAGTGCTAACAGGAAAATATCTGCAGCCAAGAATACTGTATCCAGCAAGGCTATCATTCCGAATAGGAGAGATAGTTTCTCAGAGAAACAAAAGCTAAAGGAGTTCATGATCATTAAACCAGCCCTACAACAAAAGGCTAAAGGAGACTCTTTGAGTGAAAAGGAAAGACCATAAGTAAGAGTAAGAAAAGTAGGAAACTCAAAAAAGCAGTAAAAATAAGTATATCTGTAAAAATCAGCCAAGAAATTCACAGAATAAAAGGGTGTAAAATATGACACCATATACCTAAAATGAGGGGGGGGAGAGGGAGTAAAGAATGGGTTCAAACTTAAGTGACCATCAACTTAATATAGACTGCTATATGCAGAAGATGTTATATACAAACCTGATGGTAATCACAAATCAAAAACAGTAATAGATATGCAAAAAATAAAGAGAAAGGCATCCAAGTAGATCACTTAAAGAAAGCCAGCAAGCCATGAAAGACAGCAAGATAAGAAAGAATGAGAGCAGAACTACAGAAACCACAAACAAGTGCCAAATGGCAATAAATACATATCTATCAGTAATCACTTTGAATGTAAATGGACTAAACACTCCAAACAAAAGATTAAAAAAAAAAAAAGACCCATCTATATGCTGCCTGCAAGAGACTCATTTCACACCTAAAGACACATGCAGATTGAAAGTGAGGGGATAGGGAAACATTTATCATGCAAACGGATGTGAAAAGAAGCAATACTTATATCGGACAAAATAGACTTTAAAACAAAGACTGTGACAAGAGACAAAGAAGGACACTATGATAATAAAGGAGACAATCTAACAAGAAGATAAAACAGTTGTAAATACTCATGCATCCAACAGCTCTCTGGAGTGCCTTTATATAAGGGCAGTAATCCCAATTATGAGGGTTCTACTCTCATGACCTAATCACCTCCCAAAGGCCCCACCGCCTCATACTATCACCTTCGGGGTTAGGATTTCCACATGAACTTGAGAGGGATACGAACATTTAGACCATTGCATTACTCATTGCCCTTTATTACCAATTTAATCATCAGGTGCTATTTATTCAATTATGACAAATCATACCCTTTCAAAAAAGTCTCTGAGGGTTCCTGACCTGAATAACTAGGAAGGATCCAGAGAACCCTAGTGCACATTCTGGCAAAAAAGACACCCAGCTTTCCTGGTGGAAATCCCCAGGCTCCCCTGCTTGTCTCTTTGCGTGGGTGAGCAGTGCCTGGCAATCATGAATTACTCCTGAGAACTCTGCTGCTAAGCTCTAGAAAAAGGCAGGAAAGAGAGCTATTACTTGCTCCTGAATCCTCTCCAGGACAGAATGTTCCTCACAGATGTGTGAGGCTGCCATCTCTTTCTGAGTGTGAATTCCGTTACCACTCGGGTATGATTATTGGCAAAGAAAAAAACGGAACTTGTTGCGAACAGCACAGCAGTTCTGGTCAATCTGGATGCATTCCCATCCTCTCTGTCAGTGCAGGGAGCATGACAGAGCGAAGAAAAGTGAATCGGTTATAGATGCAAGTTTAGGAATCCTCGATTCCCTACCACAAGCATGTTCATCCCACAGGGGCATAACTCAAGATGTGCAGGTCTCCGCAGAGCACTGTGGAGTGTCTTCTCTTTCAAGATGAATAGAACGTAGGCAGGCAGGAGAGAGATTTCAGAGCCCTCACAGCCAGGAAAATGTCAGAGCTGAAAGTCTAAGATTGCCCTCCCCTCCTGGCCCCAAATTAGCTGTTCACCTGCCTAAGAAAAATGCTAACTTTGGAGGCAGTTCTCAGAGTTCACATCATGATGAAGGTTAGTACCACGGTAGCTTGGATGGCAGTTTTGAAATCCCTAATTTGCATGTAGTGTTTTCCTTAAAGATTTACTATATATTTACAAAGGAGAGATGTACACATTTCTTTTCTTATGAATGATTTAAAACGCAGTGTGTATACCACTTGGGATGGAGAAGTACATGCCAAGCTAGAAATGATTGTTTTTTAAACATTATAAGTATTTCTTCTCAATTCAAGAACTTCATATGCACCATAAACTGTGCCAGGTATTGCCAGGATACAAATAAGAAAAGGATTTAATCCTTGTCTCAAAGGAGTTTTTAATGTAATGAAGGTATATTCGTCATCTGTTGCCACAGTAATGCTGTGTAACAAATCACACCAAGCTCAGTGTTCGAGCTCACACATCTGTGGTTCACCTGGGCATCGGGTGACCCCCGCTGGGCTTGGCTGAGCTTGGCTCGAAGTGCAGGTTTCAGCCAGTTCTATATTCTCCATGGGCCTCTCAGCACCCTAAGATCAGTGGACTAGCCAGGCATGTTCTTCTCATTGGGCACATCACATGTCCTAATATTCACTGGCCAAAGCAAGTCACGTAGCCAAGCCCAACATCACTAGATGGAACAAATCTACTGTCCCTTGGAGGAACCACGGAGTCACCTGGCAAAGATACGTGGATATAGGGAGAGATGCAAAATTGAGAAAAATAATATAGTCAAGCACATTAGGGAAAGATAAATTCACAACTGCCTAATAACAAAGGATGGGGATTTCAATAGGGAAGTGATTGATTATATCTCAAAGACAAGAAAATGTTCTTAGAGGAGGTGGCATTTGCACCTAGTGTTTGTATTTCAAGAGCAGACAAGGTGAGGGGAGGGGGGGAAACAGGGGAGGGGGGCAAAACTGTAATTCAAAGATGATCCATGAGCAAAATCACAGACATGTGTAGGACATTTTCAGTGTTAGGTTATAAAGAAGTAAATTAAAAGAAAACATTGTAACAGTAGAACAAGTATACCAGTAGGAAAACTACAAATAGACACTCAGTGGAGACCCCAGTGTCAGAAGTTCTTGTGTTGTATGTTTTTACTGGAAGTTTTTTGGAAAAAAAAAAAAAAAAATGAGTGTTTGAAAATTCCCAAAGTATGAAATGTGGAAAAGCACACAAGGATAGAATTTTTGTTTAAGTCTTTAGAGCTGTAATTAAAGCTGGAAATGACTTAGAAATCATCTAGTCCAGCTCACTTACTTCTTTTTTCACAGATAAAGAAACTTGTGTTTTGGAGATAAATTCTCTTTCTCCCTCTCTCTCTCTTTCTCTATGTGTGTGTGTGAAAAATATAAACATATTTAGAGAGAGAGAATAAATGTCATCTTAAATAAATCTATCCATCTATGTATGTAAAGTACACAATAAATATCTTTATATAGAAAATAAATTATTTCATATAGATATGAAGGTGGGGGGTATGAAATGAGCAGACTTCTTAAAGTAGCATCCTAAAGAATTCTTAATCCCTCATAAATTTAAAAACCACTTGGATCCTCATTAAGTGGTCTTTCTGGTTTCAAGGAATAGAATGGGAGTCACGTCACTGAAATGCAAAGGGCAGACTTGTTAAGAAAGAGGAAAAATATATATTGCCACAGATATTCAAGGCCTGGAAACACCACCTGAAGTGCCCAGTCTAATGGCCGAAGTGGGGTGGCTCCCCAGACCCCAGACTGCAGTTGGAGTTTGGGGTACAGTTATCAAAAGATGGGGGACTGGACACTAGGGGGCAGGCCAGGGCAAAGACTGCAAACACTATGTCCATCTGCCAGTCTTCCTCTCTTCCAAAACTCATTCCTTCGTTGGTAAATGGAAGGTAATTACCTGCCTACCCAAAATGTAATTAGAAAAGGAAAAGAGTTTGTGTTCACAATATGTGAGATTTTCTCCAGAAGAGAGATAATGAAACTTTGAAGTTGTGCCCTTTAGATGATCACCATTAATGGAGATCAGAAGTCAGCCAGCTATGGCCTGCAGGTCAAATCCAGCTGGTCTGTTTTTATAAAAAGAGTTTTATGGAAACAGCCACCCCTGTTCGTTTACGTATTGTTTAGGGCAGCTTTTGCACTACAATGCCAGGGTGGATTAATGGCAGCGGAGACAGGGCCCATGTGGCCTGCAGTGCCTCAAACATTCCACATCAGGCCCTTCACAAAGAGGGTTGCCCACCCCTCCTGCAGATAGAGGACTGTTCCTGGAATGGGCGAAATTTGCATGTGCTTCTGCTCCCCGTGATGGATTCAGCAGGTTGTCTGCCCAGGAGGCATATCGGTGGACTTGAGTGTCACCGGTTTGCCTCCCTCCCCGGGCTCCGCTGTGGGCCATCCTTTTAACCCTTTGCTCTCTGTCCTTTGCCAGACTCCGACCTGAGCATGCGCACACTGAGCACGCCCAGCCCAGCCCTGATATGTCCCCCGAACCTGCCCGGATTTCAGAATGGAAGGGGCTCGTCCACCTCCTCGTCGTCCATCACCGGGGAGACGGTGGCCATGGTCCACTCGCCGCCGCCGACCCGCCTCACCCACCCGCTCATCCGGCTGGCCTCCAGACCGCAGAAGGAGCAGGCCAGCATCGAGCGCCTCCCGGACCAGTCCATGGTGCAGATCTTCTCCTTCCTGCCCACCAACCAGCTGTGCCGCTGCGCCCGCGTGTGCCGCCGCTGGTACAACCTGGCCTGGGACCCGCGGCTCTGGAGGACTATCCGCCTGACGGGCGAGACCATCAACGTGGACCGCGCCCTCAAGGTGCTGACCCGCAGACTCTGTCAGGACACGCCCAACGTCTGTCTCATGCTGGAAACCGTAACTGTCAGTGGCTGCAGGCGGCTCACGGACCGAGGGCTTTACACCATTGCCCAGTGCTGCCCCGAACTGAGGCGACTGGAGGTCTCGGGCTGTTACAATATCTCCAACGAGGCGGTCTTCGACGTGGTGTCCCTCTGCCCCAACCTGGAGCACCTGGACGTGTCAGGTAAATGGCGGCTGACCCCCCCCAGCCCCCCATCCACGGGGCCTTCTGGTGCACCCTCCCAAAGCAGTAGAGGACATTGCCCCCCACCCCAAAAAGGTCCCCTCCCTGATAGCCATTAGAGATGGAGGGTGGCTGGTAAGGACGCTGACTCTTCCAGAGAGACTGTCTCTATGTAATCACGACCCCAGAGGCCAGACGTATCCCTTTCATCACACAAGGCCCACTCCTTAAAGGCACTCGAGTCCCCTTTTAGTCTGGCCATTAAGGTAATGTGACTTTTAAACCCGTCCTTCCTCCCCACAGCTGTCACTGAATTTCAGAGCAACCATAGAGAATGGGAACCAAGTATCTAACCCAAAGACAGGTAGTTTAGACGCCGCCCTTTATGTCCATTCGCTATTATTTCACGGAGCCCAAAAGCTGTGTCTAAGCTGATTCTGTGCATTGGGCGGTGCTCACGATTGCTTGCCATTTTGCAGACCCTGGGGAAAATCCATCATGGCCAAGTGTCTCCTTATATTTCACCCCCACTGTCCTTAACTTTGGGTTGATTTTGGATCTTTTCTTTTTTTTAAGCAAAATTCTCAATTACATAAGTGCAAGGATAAGTCCCATCAAGTGGAGCCTTTAGATCTTTTTAAAATTGAGGGAAATCCCAGCATGGTTGCTTTGCTTGAAAACCTCTCTCAGGCAGGAAGAATTAAAACCCAGACTCACACTTTGGCGCCAGACGTGGATCCAGCCGGACTAACAGCCTTTCTTTATCTCATCCACTGCCCAGTCAAAAGACCAACATTGGAGAGGCTGAAATGTGTAAGATGCATCAGGGAGTTAAACGAACACCATGAGCCACAACCTCAGGGATGGTCAGGGAGGGGTCAAGAAGTAAAAACCACTGTGACAGGAGAATAAACAGAATTTGGGATTTACAAGCATCTGAGGTAAATGATACCCTCCAACAAAATCTGAAGTCAAAGTCTGCTCTCTGAGCTTGCTCTCGCTTTCAAAAGCCGACATCTGAAAATATTTCAGATGACAGTCAATTATTTTTCACAGATTCTTTCCCTCGCTGGAAAGCAATTCGTTTCTCCACCCCCTTCCGCTGGCTTCGGGACAAAACCATAGTAACCGTAGTTTCAGTTAGTCATGAGCAGCTGCTGGCCTAAAGAGGCAGGAAACAAAGAGGTTTTCTTACATTTTTCCTCCAAGGAATTCTGGAAACAGAAAGCATTGTGATGTGGTAGAGACTGGTTTCAAAACTTTGTGATTTGGGACAGTTCACAGCTTTCTCTAGATGTGTTTCCTCTTCAGTTAAAAAAAAAGGCAAGGAATTGGCTTCTTTAACATTCTAAGATTCTGAGCATCGTGGGCCTATTTTTTAGACACCTCATTTCTTTGTCTTTTCAAAAATCAGATTAGAGAACGACTTGTTCTTGGAGTCCCCATCTTTGTTAAAGGAGCTCGCTGAGCACCCTCGGGACACGCTGCAAGTACTGTGACCTTTTCTGTTGGGGTCCTTTTGAAATTCAGAAATGTAGAAACTACTTTGGGAATGGAAATTCCTGGGCTTCTAGCCTGAGTGAGTGGACGGGCCTAGGCCCTTTTGACTAACCATTCTGTAAGCCTGATGCCCTTCCTCTATATCCCCCTAATCTGCAGAGCCTAATATATTTGTGGTTTTCTCACACGCCTCTCAGTGACCCGCTGTGACCTGTGTAGACACTATGTACACAAGGGAATCTCTAACTCACCAAGTTAAGAGCACAGGATTCCAGCTGGGGGGGGAAGGGGGCGGGGTTTTCCAAATGGTGCACTCCAGTCCTGAGGGAATCTGGAAACCTTAGGCTGATCCTGGGAGAAGCCAGAGGGCTGCCAGAGGTGATTTCACCTCTGCCTTATTCCCCTTGGTTTTCGAGCTGGCCTTCTCACTGGCAGGAATCTCGACTTTGGAGGATTCATTGCTGTTCTAGAGCTTAATTACCCCAGAGGATGTGAGACTCTCTTGTCCCTGGTACACTCACCTTGAAAGCTGTCTTTTCAAGTCATTGAAACTTACTATAACTAGCTGTAGGCTTTTGTCATTACCACATATTACCTTTTATTAATATTTAGTCCAGGTTCTTCAAAGAAACAGAACAGTGTGTGTGTGTGTGTGTGTGCACGCACGTGAGCGTGCACGTAAAGAGATTGATCTGCCGTGTGTGTGTGTGTGTGTACCTGTAAAGAGACTGATCTGCCATCTGCAAGCTGGAAACCCAGGGAAACCTGGCAGTACAGTTCAGTCCAAGTCCAAAGGCCTGAGAACCAAGGGTGCTGATGGTGTAAGTCTCATTCGAAGGCAGGAGAAGACCAATGCATCAGTTCAAACAGTCAAACAGAGAACAAATTCTCCATTCCTCCATCTTTTGGTCTAGTCAGGCCCTCATCTGACTGAATGATGCCCATCCACATTGGGGAGGGCAGTCTGCTTTACTGGATCCACTGATTCAGATGTTAATCTGGCCCAGAAACAGGCTCACAGGTACCCCCAGAAATGTTTAGCCACATGTCTTGGCACCTCGTCATCGACTCAAGACATATAAAATTAACTATCAAATTAATAATGTCTTGAAACATCAATGAAACACGGTAAAGCTGGCCAGTTTTCAAAGTATAATATATTGTAATTATCGCAAATGAAATTGCCTCAAAGGGTCCTCTTACAACCAGACACCTGGAGTTCTCCAATAATGAGAGGAGGTGGTAAGGAAGAACATTTTTGTGAAAGCAGAACCAAATCTGGAATTAAGTGGAAGAAACCCCACAGATATGTTCAACCTAGATTGTTCATTTCCTATTGAGGAGTACCCATACTCCTTACCCTGAGTATTAGGGCAGGGCCCATAATCTGATCCTAATGGACCATTCCTATCTCAGTTCCCATTAAATGGTTTCAGATACTTTGCATTCTACCTTATGGCCACTCCTCACAACCCCTCTGCCACCATGCTTTCTTGGGTCTCATATTTGCTCATGCTATCACCTTACTGCCTGATCTCCACATCAGGTAACCAAAATGCTTCTCTCAAGAATCCTCTTACAGATACTCACCACTTCCAAGACTCCTGATTCCTCAGTATCTAAGTGTTCACTTCATGCTGACACATCTACAGTAAATCTCTCATGCAATTCATCAATTGCATGCTATATCCTGGTCATTTCTTACCTCCTCTCCTGTAATTGAAGGCTTGCATCAGAAACCCTTCCCTAGTCTGGCTGTATGAGTCTCATAATCTCACTGAGTCTGAGATGCCTCATCTTTAAAAAATGAAGGTTTAATGGGATGATTTCTAAGGTGCTCTGCATCTCTGTAATGTATGAATGCATGAACTAACCACAGATACTACCTCCTGGGCCATGGACCAATTTATTTTCTTTTCAGTCCAAACTTAACAAATCTGTAAGAATTAAGGCTGAGGCTCAAATTAAAATTACTGATCTAAAATAATACAAGCACATCAAAAGAGCATCTTTACCAAAACGGAGCTTAACCAATACTGCATTAAATTGGGGACTCGGTTTCAAAAACAAGGCACATGTTTCCCTGAATCAAATATAATATCCTTCCTGGAGTGCATCAGATTTTAGTAGATATTAAAAAAAAAATAAGAAACTGAAACTAAGCATTTAGGGACAAAGGTTGTCATCTGATCTTGAAAAACAAAGTGCCTTCACAGGCATCCCAGATAGGCTGCCGCTACTGCGGACATATAAATCCGGTATAAGCAGGATTATAGTCACTCTAAAAAAAAAGAAATTCAAAACAAAGGACTATTTCAAAGCTGAAGGTGAGGGTTACCAACCACCTTCTGCAAAACCATGAAGGCTACTGGATAGAACAGAGTGGACAGCCTCTGATGAGTCACATCTTTGTTCTCCAGCATTGGATTGTATGCTTTACTCTTTCCTGAAATTCTTTGACCTGGTAGCACTTGGCTTTTGAACCTCATTATTCCCAGGACCTGAATTTTATAAGAGTTTCCTGGGCAGCCTGCCAGGAGGTGGGAGGACCATCCCCATTAGCATGATTATGTCGCCACTTGGGAGCCTTGGATATTGCTTGAGTAGCCAGGGCACGGGGGTGCCTGAGGTGAAGCACCTGGCTTTGGAACTGCAAGAAGGATTCGGGAAGAGCACAGAGAAAATGAAAAATACAGATACAGTTTATGTAGTGGGATGATATATATATATATATATGTATATATGTATATATATAAAAAATATATTGACATCATGTTATTTATATTTATATACTAAAAATATGCTGTACATATATTATGTAATATCAGATGAACTGAAATATACACTGAATGAGTGTTTCATATATAATTATATATAATATGTAATGTATATAATGTATCATGTATACACACATTCATAGGGGAAGAGTGGCTAGAAACAGTGTTTAGAGAGATAGCTAAAGATATCTTCCAATCATCTGAAAAAGGATAGAATATTAAAGGGGTTCTAGATATCAACAAACACAAAATCTTCCTAAGCATTCATTTCCTTATCAGTAAAATGGATTAAAAATCAGGTGAGGAAATGTTTATAAAAGCATTCTGTAAACTTCATAATTCAATACAAATAAAGGCATTATAATTAAGTATAAAACAGACAATTGTTTTATAGTATAAATTTATATCAGCCATGGCCAAAGTCCTGAGGACATTTAAGTGTTGGAATTTACATTATCCAGAGTGGGGCAAAATTAGCCCTAGATCAAGGTCCACAAATATTTCCTAGAGGCTTATATAGGCTTTATGGGCTAGAAGGTGAAGTCATATATATTTTGCAGGTACTTACATAAAGAGAGAAAACTTCTCCTTCCACCCCGCCGCCATGTGACTGGGGTGGGCCTCCCATGTGCTGGGCATGGTTTCTGCCTAATTGCCATCTGCTGGAGACATTTTTGGTATGAGAGCACTGGCCTGAGTGGAAAAGGTCTGGTTAATGTGTGGGAAGAGGAGGATAGTGTTACGGACTGAATGTTTGTGTCTCCCCAAATCCCTATGTTGAAACCCTAGCCATCAGTGTGATGCTATTAGGAGGTGCGGCCTTTGGGAAGTCAGTAGGTTTAGGTGAGGTCATGAGGGTGGAGCCCCTATGATGGTATTAGTGCCTTTATAAGAGAAACCAGAGAATTTGCTCTCCTTCTCTCTACCATGTGGGAATACAGTAAGGAGGCAGCTGTCTGCAAGAGGGGTTCTCACCAGAAACCAGGCAATGAATTGGCTGGCAGCCTTGATCTTGAACTTCTCAGCCTCTAAACTGTGAGAAATAAATGTTTGTTGTTTAAAAATAAATGAAATGAATTATCCTACCTGATCTTCTTACAGAAGACTATTCACTATAATTCACTAGTTTGTTCATTCAACAGATGTTTAGTGAGCACCAGCTATGAACCAAAGATGAGGGATACAGCAGTGAACAGCCCAGAATCCCTTTCCTCGGGAGCTTACCTTCCAGAGTGAGGACAGCAAATACTTAAGTGAACAAATAAATGTATCATGCCACAAAGTGGTAAAGAGTGCTGAGAAGAAATGGGAGTCAAGCAGGGGACACTGGTTCATACAGGTGATTGGGAAGAATTGTCCAATAAGCTGACGTGTGCTCAGAGACCTCAAAAAGTAGGGATGGCTCAAACTAAGGATGTAATGTATGGTGGTTAACATAACAATAAAAAAATTATTAAAAAAAAAAAAGTAGGGATGGCCCACGGGGCTACCCGGGGAAGCCCTGTCCCATGCACAGACATTGAGGCAGGAGGGCAGCTCAGCTGTCTGGGAACCAGCCAGGAGGCCAGTGGGGTCAGAGGAGTAGGGTAAGAGATGAAGTCAAAGAGAGCAGGGATCGGGGGACCCTTAGACTTTAGAGGGTGGCATCCAAAGACTTTGAGCAAAGTGACGTGATTGGAGTTCCTGTTTTCCAGAATCTCTCCGGCAGCTCTGAGAACAGACAGTTGGGAGTAAGGGCAGGACAGGGAAACTGGTTGAGGGGATGGAGCAGTCATCCAGATGAACAGTTACTCTTCCCTGACCAAAAAGGATTGAAGTGAGTCTCCAGGTGGCCAGTGGTTAGATTAATAATTACGTATCTTTCCCCTGGAGTTTTCCAAGTACCTCTGTACCCATTATTTCATTGCATCCTCATGATACCCCAACAGTACAGGCACCCCAGCTACTCAGGCTCATTGCATAGACGAGAGCCTTGAGACGGAAGAGTTAAGCCTCCTGCCTGAGGCCCTAAGAAGTAGACCTGAACCAGGTGTGACTCCCAAATGCTCTTTCTGCCAAACCAAGGTCATAGCCAAGCCTTCTCCAGCATGATCTTACCTCTTTGACCACAGAGTTACAGGACCGTTGCAGAGAGAGAATCAGCCCTTACCAAGCTTCCAGAATGATCTGGGCCAGGGCAAGATATTTACAACCATTGTCTCCTTTATTCTTCACAGCGACCTGTGGGGAACATGATCATCCCTATTTTAAGACAAATGAAGGACTCAGAAGGATTGATTTGCCCCATGTCAGGCAACTAGTGATGGATGTGGAATTGGAGCTGTGGTGTTTCTGATTCAAAAGCCCAGGGAGCCTCTTAAACCCAGATGACCAAAATCGTTAAACAATCAGATGAGCAGGGGCAACCCATTCTTTCTCTCGTTCTCCGTAGGGGTCAAAGAGGGCAGGGGTAACATCGGGGGCCGCGCTGGGGTGGGGGGTGGTGTTCGAGAAGGAATCCTCAACGGCATCCCCCGGGTGAGGCACACACCATGCCCCACCCTACCCCCGGTTCTCGAAGGTCCCCTGAGCGTGTGTTCTGTCTCTCTGTGTAGGGTGCTCCAAAGTGACCTGCATCAGCTTGACCCGGGAGGCCTCCATTAAACTGTCCCCCTTGCATGGCAAACAGATTTCCATCCGATACCTGGACATGACGGACTGCTTCGTGCTGGAGGACGAAGGGCTGCACACGATCGCGGCGCACTGCACGCAGCTGACCCACCTGTACCTGCGCCGCTGCGTGCGCCTCACCGACGAGGGCCTGCGCTACCTGATGATCTACTGCACCTCCATCAAGGAGCTGAGCGTCAGCGACTGCCGCTTTGTCAGCGACTTCGGCCTGCGGGAGATCGCCAAGCTGGAGGCGCGCCTGCGGTACCTCAGCATCGCCCACTGCGGCCGGGTCACCGACGTGGGCATCCGCTACGTGGCCAAGTACTGCAGCAAGCTGCGCTACCTCAACGCGAGGGGCTGCGAGGGCATCACGGACCACGGCGTGGAGTACCTCGCCAAGAACTGCACCAAACTCAAGTCCCTGGACATCGGCAAGTGCCCGCTGGTCTCCGACACGGGCCTCGAGTGCCTGGCCCTGAACTGCTTCAACCTCAAGCGGCTCAGCCTCAAGTCCTGCGAGAGCATCACGGGCCAGGGCCTGCAGATCGTGGCAGCCAACTGCTTCGACCTCCAGATGCTCAACGTGCAGGACTGCGAGGTGTCCGTGGAGGCCCTGCGGTTCGTGAAGCGCCACTGCAAGCGCTGCGTCATCGAGCACACCAACCCCGCCTTCTTCTGAAGGGGCCGCTCGGGCCGCCGCGCTGCACGGCAGCACGCGGACACTGCGGCGCAATTCCTAAAAGCAGCATCTGTAAGCGCCGACGTCCGCTCACCCGTAGCAGCCCTTGCTTCCTGGGAGGTTCTTAGGGATCTGGCTTTTCTTTTTCCTTAGTGCTCGTGGGCAACAGGGGTCAAGGAAAGGAAGGGAGAGCGGGGGGAGGGCGGGGAGGTGGTGCAAGTTGCTGTGCCGGTAAACTGGTGTTTTGGGTCAGGTCATCTGTAGGCAGTTTCTCTTCTCCCCAAAGAGGTACCTCAGAAAGCCGATGGCAGTGTGTTTAAGAACGCCTCTTTCTCTGTCTCTGTGCTCCTGGCGGCATCCCAGGCTTCTGCGCACGCACACATCCTGTCCCAACCGCTCCCCCGTAGCCCCTCCCTGGCCACCAGCAACCGCACATCCAGGATAATGATGCTCCCCAGACCTCCTCCTTTTTAAACCGCTTGAGTGGCCTAAGCCGCACTCGGCAATCCCGCGCCCAAACAAATTCTTATTAAATAAATGTCCTAGCACGTGGTATATACAAAGCGCTTCCAACCCTTTTCTAAAGATTCACTTCGGGCAAGCAGCACTGTGCAGGAGGAGACCTGCATTCTCCCCTCCCCGCCCCCAGCTCTGCCACAGACATAGCTGTGTGACCTTGGGCAAGTCACTTGACATCTCTGGGCTTCGGCTTCCCGCACTGAATCAGAGGCCATTCAGCTCGATGATCCGCTTCATACCCATTTTAGAATTGAGAGGACAGAGATTGTCAGTAAGGAGCAGCACCTTGGCCTACAGCATGAGGCATCTATCTCTCCCAAGAGTATTGGTTTTGTGGGTGCTTTCAGGAGATTGGGAAGTGCCAGCATGAATGTCCCACATGTCCTTCAACTCCGATCTGAATGTCACCCCAACCCTGTTTCTTTTGGTGCGTGAGTCCCTCGGGCACCTACTCCTGCCCCGCTAGGTGGATGATTCCTGTGACAGGCGCTTCCTGCACCACCCGACCCCACACCATCTTACAGAGGCAGTGGATTTCCCACTCAGAGCACAGCCCACAGCCCCAGTCAAGTGGATCTTGCTGAGTGTTTTCAGATAGGAAGAAAGACCCTCAAAAGTTTTCATTAACCAGGGAGGCCCCAAGATAGCACATGTCTTCGAAGGGTGTCCTGTCCTTTCTTAGTGCACATGTGATATGTAGCAGACACATCTACATCTGCCCTGCAGCTGGCAGGGGCAGACGTGTTGGTTCTTTTTCATTCAGATCACATTTCCACTTTTCTCATCTATTTATTTCTCTGTGCATCCAGACTCCATCACGTGAAGCCTGTTGGGCTTAAGTCCTAAGTGATTAGCGGCGCAGATTGCCACCTCGTGTGCCTTCTCCCATGGCTATCTGCATGTTCTCTGTCAGAGAGCACACAGCAGACTTTCAGGTGTTTAAAGACCGTTCACTCAAAAATGTCAGGCAAATGGAAGAAGGAGCACACTGATCACACTGAAGCGCTGGCCCGCTAACCAGGCCCTTGGAATAGAACATTAAAATCCTTGCCAAGTATGCATTTTAAATGGCCCTGTTTGGATGGGAATCCATTTGCTAGCCTCACTTGCATGAAGTCGGGATGCCAGAAGAAAGTCCGCTGCTCATTTTCATGAAATTGATTTGCCTTCTATTAATAAACACATGACTTTTCCCACATTGTTCTCTGGCCACACCTCTCCTTCATCGCTCTTCAGTCATCCACTGCTTTCTCAAAGGGTCCACCCATCCAAACCCAGAACCTCTGTATCTCCAAGCCAAGTAGGTGGAATTGGTTGCAGATCCAGCTCACACACAACTCGACAACTGCACTCCCACTGTAGGCTCCCTGCATTTCTTTGTCTTATGTCGGGAAGGAGGAGATAGTGAGGTGGCCTCTGCCCAGGAGGTTTCTTTTCTTGCATCATATGACCTATGACCTCCTCCCCAGTCAATATCGTCAACAATTTAGTGGGCAATCATGACCTGTGTGCCACAGGGAAAATGAATTGCTTGGCTGGGGAGAGTGTCTAGTGAAAGTCACAGTGTTTAGAGCCATGAAAGAGGCTGAATGAAGGTAGCATTCCCATGCTCTGTGGCTTGTGACCATGTCTAACATTTCAGGAGTTGAGAGTCACAAGGATTGTCCCTAACCCTTGGCACTGGGGTCTTCCAAGTGGTTAATTTTCATACTTCCGGAATGAGAAGAGAGATCCAAAATGGCGCCCTAAACCAGAGAAGGGGTGTCCCATTACAAATACCTTTATCGCCACCACTGGACCACATCGCCTAAACTGTCTCCCACACATGAGGCAAAGCTGACTTTCACACTCATTGCCCAGCACGTGCTATCTCTCCTAGTCTCTCCCTTTGCCCCAGTCTTTGGCCACTCTGCTCACCCCTCTTGGGATATGAATCTATGGCGGCAGTCACTGGGGAAACAGCTCAGCAGATTTTTAGAGACCAGGCAAAAGGCCTCACTAGGAAATTTATCTGTTTTAAAACATTGCTTCCTTCCTGCCTCTGCGAAATTGAATGCTCATTGTTTGTTTGTTTTTTTATTTCTAATGATCAATCACTGCGTGCTGTATGACTCTAGAAAGCCTTAATTTACTACCACCAAGAAATAAAGCAATATGTTGGTAATCGGGTTAAGTCTCATTTAATAACGCTGGCCGGAGGAGCATGGTGTTCAGATGGGGACACTCAAGGGCAAGGAAGAAACTTACCTTCTGCTGACGTGGAGAGCAAGTCAGCAAGTCGGGTCAGTGCGGCTCTTGTGCCTTTAAAGTTGCATCCACAATTTTGTCATTTCCCTTGGCTCAGTGACTTTGGCTGGAAATCAGCAGGCGAGTGAAAAATCATTACCGTCACAGTTTAGGTCAGGTCTTCAATTCCTTACTCTTGGAGCCAGATGTATTTTGGAATTTATAATTTTTTATATTTGAGGAAGTGAGCTGTGGTGTATTTTGTAATACCCCTGGCAGAGTTTAGGGCGGCCCCCTTAGTCAAACACGTTAGATTTCTGCAGCCGTCGCTGCACACAGTCATACTATATAAGATTATTACAGACTAAGTAGCCTTGCATCCATTCAGGTCAGGTTTTGTCACCAAATTAATTTGTGCCAAACATAATGAAAAAAACTTCTATTCCTTCAGAGCTCTCCAGATTTTAGAACTATGAATAAGTAACTGTGGACCTGAATACATCCCTTGGCACAGGTCCAAATGCTGGAGTAATCGTCGAAATTATGCCATTGGTTGTTAGCAATTTTTTAAAAGGTCTTGGAGCATTAAAACCTAGAAGGACAATACGGCAACTTGATCTAAAAGGAAAAATTATCATTCCGTTGGAAAAAAAGAAATGCCAAAGCTCTTCTCACCCCAGCCTTTAGATCTGAGAAATCAATATGGCAGAAAGCAAGCACCGAGAGATGAATGGCACAATTCCTCTTTAGCAAGTAAAAAGGTTTTAAGAGATACTGATTTTAAATGTATTTGTCCTCAACCTTCTTCACATCCTATGTCGGCTGCTTAATGACTGTCACATTAACCAATAGGACAATGTACTGCCTGGGAACATTCACTGGAGGTAGCCCCACGTAATCCTGGTCAAGATCCCAGAATAAGCTAGCAGGAAATAAAAGCATTTGTCCTTGAGGTTCATGACTTCTTAAATTGACATTTGTTCAGAATTTGAAAAAGTTTTCAAAAAATTTGCTACCCAAGAGCATGCAACATGAAACGAAACAGATTGGGCCTTTTTAAGAGGAAAAATAATACAATAAAATTGCTTCCCACATCCCAGTTTTCACAAAGAAGTCCCCAAGAGTAGTGCATTTGTTCAATAGCTGGCAATCGTGATTCGTTAAGAAAGACGTTAATTTGAAGAAATGCTGAATCAACAGCAGGGGAGGGAGAGAGCATATTCAGAGACTTGGTGAACACTGCAGTGAAAATATTCACACAGACAATCTCTCAGATGAAGTTGGTTTCCCTCTTGCATGCTGTTGGTCAAATGGTTTCTTCTTTTTTGATCCGTTCACCAGCTGTGGTCCTCAATGTGGCAGGAAGGTGAGGTGCAGTGTGAAGGGGCACACCTGTCCTCATCGGTCTGCAATGGAAGCTGATCCCGTCACCGAGACCCCCCCCAAACACAGCTCCAGTTGCCCAAAGAGCAACTCAGGTGGTTTCATGAAGATGACAGCCAGGTGGGCAGAGTTGTTCACCTGGGGGAAGGAATATTCTCCCAGACACTAAGATTGGGGACACCCCATCCAGGGATGTACTTCGAATGTGACTATTCCTCCCTTTTTCTCTGAGTGCACCATTATCTCCTAAAGCCACAGATCCATTTTTGTAGAGCATTTTTTCCCCCCTTTAAGTCGCCAGATCTGCTAAAACCACATGGGATGAAAGAACATCTCCATTTGGGAGCTGGAGGCTGCTCAACCCCTGCCTGTCACCAGCACCATTGTGGCGTCACCAGCACCATTGTGGCGTCACCAGCACCATTGTGGCATCTCCAGCAGAGGTGTCTGCTGGAAATATTTGCAACAAGGATGCCGGTCTCCTGGACTACCCAGGAAGGCTACATGTAAGTTCTAAATTGTTGCTCAGGTGTTAACAACCAGCATCATCCAGGTATCCGCGATGGCCTTGAAGATCATTTAAAAAAAAATTTCCTTGACCTAAATATTTCCAAGTCTAGTCATTTCTATATTGCAGAATGTTTCTCTTTCTAGTCACTGAGCTACTGAATTTTACACTGATGAGATCAGAATGTCTGAACTCTATCCCGGCCCATGATGATCAACATATGATGGAGACTGGAAGTTACAGTCATTCTTCATGAACAAAGGATGCCCAGGGAGTGCCAATCATTTTCTTCTGAGGGAGCAGACAATCCCCAGCAACGCTTTTCACAAAGGTTTATTGAGCAGGTACTGTGATAGGATCTGGGGGGA